ACTCACCATCCCTAGGTCTATTTGAAATGGGTTGCTTTTTCATCGTGAATCCGTCCTTTAAGTTCCTTCCAGGATATGCCAGCAACCTTCGTCTCAGAAATTTTGTACCATAACTGGTTTCCATTCGGGTCCGCTTTCTAAGAACGCCTCGAGCAAAGCTTCCTTTTTGTGTTGATTTCGAATCAATGGTGGCCTACTGCTAGAAAATACTACGCGTTCAAGGGACACTCCGGGAAGCGAACTCATAAAATAGCTTAGATTCAAGCGAAATAGTAAACATGCGTGCTTCAAGCGATAAAATTCAGGGCGGCCTCTGACCTTGTGAACGTTGCCAGATTATAGTTCCTTCAATTTATGTTGCTTCATTCTTAGTCGTAGAACCGGCACACGCTTTGAGGGGGTAGACAAAAACATCCCGACCCAAGCAGTATAGCACCATACATCTAATTATGAACCAGAAAATTCCCTCACTTCGAATCAAGCAACATTTTTCAATATCTATCCGCAACTTGAACAAGAATCGGACCAGTCAGAGCTTCCCTCAGGAGCTTAGCTCTGACTGGTCCGATTCTTGTTACCTTGTTCATTGTTTAGTGGTGGCAGCCCTCATGTAGTACTCAAAGTGTGGAAGGGGCCATGGCGCAGTCTTTAATAATTCAACTTGAAAAATTCTGCTCTTATTTTTTCATCTTCTTTAGCAGCGAACTCAGACGTTCCTTACCAGACACAACTGCTGCCTGTTGTCAGCTGCAGCAATTGTCTGAAGCCGTTCCCACCGTCTATCGTCATTTCTTTATTCCCCGATACTACTATTTCGATGCGCTGTCACATCGATGCCGACCTTTTCTGTATCCTGGAACGGGTGATTTTGGCAATGTGTTCGAGTCTGAGCAGAAGTGCCTGGCACACTGCCAAACGGGAACTACAGGTGCAGCTCCTTGACAAACTCATTCCCCCTCAGCACATGGCTCACAGGCGTTGCCCTGCTTCACACGAATTCTGCTCGAATGGCTTTCTATATGCTTTTCGGCCCAATTTCAAAGTTCGAATCATTTTTAATCGAGAAGTGCACTTAGGGTGAACCACCACAAAAGAATCGATATGGGGTGTTGTTTGTCGATTTGGAAAGGGGCTCGTAGGTGGGAACAGGTGGGATAGTGAAAAGGGGGAAATAACGTAAATTTACTGAATCAGCTACAAGTTCCTGAAACTTTGTCATTCCTCCCCCCTCATGCGGGGGCGGAGTTGCAGGTGTGTCATGTAGTGCACTTTCCACTAACACGTCATCAACCTACTGAGTTGTAGGTTAGATAGGTCGTACTCAGAGAGAAGAAGGAGAGGACGTGATAGTGTGCACGCATGGCTCAACCCGAAAAACACTGTCGCCTAAGCGACCAAAGACTAACAGTTCACAGCTGCGCCACACCAGCACCTGGGTAGCAAAAAATGACTGCTCGATTGCAAGGCTCAAACCAACCTGCATCTAAAAATGTTCAAAAATTGGTATTTTTATCAGAAAAAATGCAGTTTTCGAGTTCAAGAACACGCTCATTGAAAGCTACACAGCTGCCTTGCAAGCTTATCTACATTGTACACGCCACAGCCACTAATTACATTTTTAACCCAGGGGATTTCAGTGGATCCGTGTACCCTGGACCAGGAGTCCGGCGTCGGTTCAGTTCAACTAATTCGATTCTATTTCAACAAACAACTGAAACTCTGCGAAGAGTTCATCTATTTTGGTGCCGGCGGTAATCGAAACAACTTCCTTACCATGGAAGAATGCCAAGCACAGTGTCCAGGTGGAGATGATTTCGCATGTGTTCGGGAAGGTCTTCTGGACAACTGTGTATCTTCTGGTTCTGTATAGGCTGTCGACGAAGTTTCTGCTTTCTTCTGGATCTACGAAATCTCTATCCCAAACTGCCTATGGCGATTCCTCGTGCTGTTTCTAACCACTTCGCTTCTCCTGGTACCTAACTAACCACTAACATTGGTATTTCTAATACATTTGTTTTCGATTAATCTTCTTTCCTTGAATATCTGCTTAGGCTTTTGGTTTTTCAACTCGCTTCTGATATGGTGAAGGAATAATTTTGAAGTGGTCCGATCAGCTGGTTCAATATGATAATTTTGCAACCCTTCAGAGTCTCCGAATCCATGTGCAGTAACCGTCACCATACCGGGAGGCCAATGCACTCCCGGTGTGAGCTCCTGTGGAGGTGGTAGCTTCTGCCACGTCGGCGCTACTCCGCAGACCACAACCTGCTGCCCCAAACCAGGTGATTTTATTGAGCGATTTTATTTTGACACTATCCCTCAAAAAATTCCATTTCAGCTCCTATCGATCGCTGTCAGCAACCTCTGAATGTCGGCATCGGGAATGCCAACCTCCAAAGGTGAGTGCTGATTACAAATTGCTACTGATCAAGAAAATACTTCACAGATCAAGAGATCAAAGTGAAACAGATGAAATCTAAATGCTGAAAGGTTGCCGGTGCTTTTTTACCTGCACAGTGGGGTCGTCTGGCCACTGAAAGTGAGCGAAGGGACATAGTGCACTAACACTGCGGGCATTTTTCTAGTTTTTCGGGAAAAAAGGAGGCCCAGATATATACATAAATGCATTTACTAGCGCTAGCTCGCTAGTGAGTAGACAGCTTTGCGATTCGCCCTGCTCCCGTAAGGGCAAACTTTAGATCGTCAATGGTTTCAACCGACCTCATCCTTGTATTCAAGTTTTTCTATCCTGCTTCCCTTACACACGTAGCTATGACATCGATGGCTTCTAAATTGTATACGGGCTTAAGGTGGTCATGCTTTCTCCCTAAAACCGCTCCAAAGTAGTGCGGCGGTTCAAAGCCAATGTTATTTATAATAGTCATTTAACAACTTCAAGAAGAGCGAAACCAACACACCACCAACAAAGTCGGGCTCCCATCATGAAGAGGAAAGGTAAGCGGTGGCCTCAATTTAGACCGCCCGTCTAAAAAGAAAGTTTTGTATGGATCGTCTTTGGGATGTGCCACGTATCTGACTTCCATTCAAAACCGTACTGGCAATTGACCCTTAAATGCCTGTTCGGATTACACAATGACTTGTTCGGGCAGCATTCGTAAGATACTGTATTTACCTTTGCAATCGATAAAAAATCCTAATAAGCAATCAATATCGTGTGTAGGTAAGCGTTCTTCTTTCTTTGAGCAGTATTCAACCGATTTCTGAAATACTCGAAAGCTTGGCTGATCTGGCCGAACATGAGCGTGATTCAATCCTGCAAAAGCGGTGTCACTGCCCCATTTCTGTTCAGCGGGAAGCATTACCGTTTACTAATAGAGTACATTCAGGTGGTACTTCAACCCGCTCACTCAGCAGTGTCAACCATGCACCTATCGCGGTCTACAGGGTAACGAGAACAACTTCCTCACTAAAATCGAGTGCGAGACCTCATGTCTTGGTTGGTTTGCTTTCCACCATTGAAATAACTATATTCAAGCTCCTTTCGTTCTAGCCGGTTTGCTATAAAATACCTTATTAGTAACAAAAATTGCTCAATAAAGTCACCTAAAAGCACATTTTACTTGTGGGGAATGCTGGTAGATTTCAATATGTCTCAGATTTGATTTATAATGTGCGAACCTGTAAAGCACCTCCTTTGTAACCAATCTATTTATTTGGTGATTGAAGAGAGTCTTGAGAAAATCAGCGAAATATACGAAAATGTGGTCCGTTTCCAGTGAACGCGTGCAAGATCGGATCACCATATCGATCACCAAGGAGTGGTCGTTCAGTGCTCTGCCGCAAATCCTACCGTATGCCCGGCTGGGTATTATTGTCACGTCGGAGCGGACACCACAACTTCCGTTTGTTGTCAAGCTCTTGGTTAGTCCTTTACCTGTGAAACACTTGAGCAGCTGAAGCTA